CCACCTCCTCCATGCCACGGTCGTCTTCTGTGAACGCCACCATGCCAGGGTCGTCTCCTCCAAATGCTTGTCTGCATTGGGAACAAACCGAACCTAGATGACACTGGTTCAAATGTATATATCATTACACCCAAACCCATCAGGCAAAGGACAAACACCTATCATGGCATCCACCTGAAGAAAACAACTCAGACTCAGCAGTCCCGGAATGGATCAAAAGCCGCAAGCAGACCACAAGCCGGTCAAGCCTGGACCGATCGTGAAAAAAATCCGTGAACCTCAGATCATGAGACCACAGCCCCTTCCGCTTCGTCTCCTGCCCCAGCCCCTTCCGGGACGTCCAGGGCGATGCGCAGACTTCTCCGAGTTCTCGCTGTCCTCGCCGTCCTCGCTCTCCAGCTCCTCGAAGACCACACCAACCTCTTCTTTCGGCTCCTTGATTTGGATCCATCGGCTCTTTTGGCCACTGAATTTAGATCTGATCTGATTGAATTCCAAAAGCGGTGATGGACATCACATAAACAACCATCTGCGAAACAATTCTACCTTTGGTTGCTGTGGCTCTTCGCTTCGAGCCTTATTAGATCCCTTCAGCCACCTGTCTGCGACTCCACGTCTGCATAATATCAGGCGAAAAAAGGAGGCTGCTTAGATTAGTCGAATAGTAATAATAAGATTATCATAGATTATCAAATTTTATTGTCTGCGATACTCCCCCACATGCTGCAAACAAATATGAATATTCCTAGAATCAAACTGTCTTTCTTGGAAATCGAGACAATAGAACACCACTGTCAAGAATGCATCAATAGACATTCTAAAGAATCAAAGCGTTTTGAAAATCCCTTTCTTGGCTCTTCAGTCTCTTCAATAGGGCTCTTCACTTCTGGAGCGGCCTCAGGCTGACCAGATTCCTCTGTCACCTTCTTCTCTGGCTCTTTCACCACCTCTCCAGCCACCTTCGGAGCCTCTTCATTCTTTCTCTCTGCCACAGGCTCCTTGGCCACAGCCCCCACTTTTGCGGCCTCCTTCTCAGGCAGCTCCGGCTGCACCTTCGCCACGGGCTCCGGCTCCGCGTCCTTGCCGCGCAGCTGTGGCGCTGGAGGAGCTGGCTCGCCTGAGGCAAGGCTCGCCACGAGCACCAGCGCCAGGGCGACACCGCGCGTCATTTGGGTCACGAGAGCCGCGTCGGGAGCGACGGAAGGGAAGCGACACCGGGCGTCAAGCCAAGCTTGAACCGGGCATCGAAAATGAGAAGGCTTTTGAGAATCCCACAACAGTCAATAAGCTGTTGTAGGAACCTTTGTGGAACGAACAGCAAGCTGTTCTGGGCTTTGCACGTGTTCTTGAATTGAAGGAAGTGTAATGACAGGTGTGCTTGCGCAAAAGACCTCTGAAAACGATTGACGCGGCCCCGTCCATCTGCCCCAACAGACTTCCAAACACCAAACATGTTGGTGGATGTTGGCGGTTTCCACATGGCTCAAAGCAGCTGTGAACAGGCTTTCTGCGCGGGCATCCCACCATACCCCGGCGCTTTGGCGTCCGCTTGGAGGCCGGAAAACCCGTCCTGAACGTTCGGTATGGCGAATTCGTGGACCTCGGCGCAGAAGAAACGACTTCCTCGATCAAACATGGGGGAAGACCTGGGACTGGAAGAAGGAACCTAGTTTGGGAGTTGCCTTGGGTCTCAGTTTGGGCATCAAGAATCATACATGTATGTTTGCTGCAAAAGCCAGTACCACTCCGTGAACTCCAACATAGGCATAGGTCACATCAAAACCTGCCTTGAATGTGTGGTGTGATGCTAGATGGTGCTAAAAGCGTGCATGATGGTGGTATCACTTGCAAGGGCTTGTTCAGCTTGAAGTGAGCAAACATGTATCGATTCATGCACAGGTGGGGACTGCCCCTCTGCGACAAAACCAGAGGCATCGCTATTGAGGCTATTGACTCTTGGAGACTGGGCTAGTAGGGCGCCAATGCTTCATCTTATGGGATTGAAGAAGATGATCGATTGGGGATTTGAGTGCCAGAGATGAGGGTGTTCCAAGGAGGTGGAACTTCACATTTTTGAGAGAACTGTTGATGTTCGTTTACGGTGAACATGGTTTAAAAAGATGTGAGAAGCCTATTATTGCCCGCAGGTGTTGCGAGACATTCGGTATATACAAACTCAACTGATGCAGGATTCTTCTGGCGTGAACAGCCCTGATCACCCCCTTTCACCAGAGACCCTCGTAGAACTCGGTCGTCGTCGACTCGCACGGGGTCATTAGTCTTGACGCCCACTGGTGTGATACAGTAGGGATCAACATCAAGATCTGGCTGCATTCAGTTGATCTTGAGGTAACCAAGGATTCTAAGTCCGGTGGAGGCCATCGCCAGTCGGGAGGCCATCGCGGCCATCGCGGATCGGCCAGGAGCCACACCGCCGCCGCCAGGTCGGGGCTCCGCCGCTCGGCAGCACAGGTGTTAGCAGGTGACGCACGAGCTTTCCATACGCGTTACGTGTGACGTGTTACTCGTTGAGGCATGTGAAGGACCCGAAACATTCCGTCCCATCTCACGCATTCTTGTTTGATCCCATCCTGTTTGCCTAGGGCCCTTGGGCCTCTGTTCCTCACTGCTCCTACTTGAGCCGTCACGGCCAAGCAGAGCCGTCACGGCCGTTCCCGCGCGGTCGCTGAAGAGCCGGGTGACGCCCGGCTAAGGCGAGCATGCTAAGGATCGGCAAGCCAAGGCCACGGATCGCTTTTGATGGCGAGGCAGGATGAAATGAAGAATTAGCAAAAGAGAGAAAAGAACCTGATAGGCATGGAAGAGACCCACATGGAACCTGAAAGCCACTGGGTGTTTAATCGGAAATAATGGGACAAACAGCACCTTCCGAAAGGGGTCTCCAATGGAATACACCCCGCCCACCACGCACGTGATCTCCAGGCCCGGTTGTGGGCCGCTGAGCGACAATACTGGATCCTTTCATGCAAACAAAACTGACTGGCGTGACTCGTAGGGAATAAGGGAATAAGCCCCCAATAGAGATTCTATTGGATCACCCTCATTCCCTTCGTTTCCCTACTAAGCACAAGTCAGAATATCAAAGACCCATCCAGCTGTGGGAACCGTCCACCCAGGGACGGTCTGTGTCCACTCCGAGCGGTCTCTGCCGGCCCCGACGAGCGGTCGCCGGATCTTGCCTGCCTCGGTCTCCAATTGCTTTTTCATGCCCTGCAGGAGGTTCAAGACCTGCGAAAGCATGAGATCCGGGATCAGAATGAAACTCCAACCCGCCAGCGAATCCGAGTGCATGATGTGTATGTTCCGAACGAGAACCGAGTTTGGATGCATTCACGAAAACCATCTCAATCTTGCCACCTCAACAGAACCCCATCTCCCGCTTTCCACAGCGTCCCGCCACCTCGAGACCCCACGTCCCACCTTGGTGACGGGTCGTTCCGCCACCTCCTGCCGACGCGGAAAGGAGTTCACATCGAAAAGGAATCCATACAAATCCATCTGTATTGGAATCCATCTGCATGGTAACTCCAAAGTCCAATGTCGAAACCATCCATGGGATGTTCAGCTAGTTCCGCTATACCGCGGAAAAATGGTATCTTGCGTACTGCATGTTCATGCACCAACATGCGAGTTGTGTTTCTTTCCACCAGCTTGCACCCAGTCTCGAACCTTCGCTTTGCATGCACATCTTTCCGGCACACCACTCAGTGGCAAACCGGCAAAGCCTCTTGCACCGACGACAGTCCTCCGCCTCGAAAGTCTTCAGGGAGTTGCTGGACCAGAGACATGTCACCAGCAACACCAACACCGCCTCGGTGAGTTTTTCCCACGCACGCGGCATGTTTTTTCTGCATCGACAGAGGCGACACCAGCATCGACAGAGGTCCACTAAGGTCTTCTTCCATTCTTGTGTCTGATCTTTAGGGTAGTCAGCTCCACAACAACAGACTGAATCTCTCGGTTGGTTGGTTGTTTCAATCAAAGGGATCAGGCAGAAGAGCAAAAGAAATGAAGTTGAGGTTGTCAATTACTATTCAAAATATTCAAACAACATGTCGCAAAAAATCATGCCGAGTATGGAAAGCATCTGGAGCCGCTAAACAAACTTTGCATCATCCCTCCGGCGTTGACTTGGGCTTTGGACCACCGCGTTTGGCGCCTACGGCCGGATGCACAACTTAACACGTAGGAAGGGATGGTCAATCTCGCTCAAGTCAACAGCACTGCTAGTTGGAACCTGACTTTGTTGTTGAGATACAACGCATATAACCCAAGATTATATAACCAAGTGTGTGGTGGTTGCTATAAAGGTTATGATTTGATGTTGCCTTGCAGCAGTCAGTGATGATGTTCATCCGTGGGGTCTTTGCAGAACCTATTCGCGCTGATGCGACGTCACTTGACTTCGCTGCCCAAGAAACTCCAGAGGCAACTTGGCAACTATTCTGTGTCCGGACGATGGACTCCTGATATGTTTCATTGATGGTGCGGCTTCCGCTCTGGTTATTCCAACAGTCCAAAAGCCCATCAACAGCCAGTCTGGCTGCAGCTACAGTGATCAATTATACTCCCCTGCTTATCGTCAGCAACCTTCTCTCCACATCTTGGCCATCTCAAGCCATCTTAGGGTCCAACCCTGGCACAGACCCACCCAGGTCACTCCACCCGCGAATCCAAGTCCCTCAACGCCTGCATGACTTCAATGGATCGGGGGTCAGCTGCTGGAACCGCCGACGTTTTCCGGTGGTCCCAGCTGCTTGAGCCGCTGCAAGAAGAGGTGTGATGTCCAACACGATCTCTTGCTGCAACCCTAAACACCTCGCCATTGATGCACTAGAGATGTCAACATGTATGCCTGCAACATTTGAGTCAGAGGTCGTGCCAAACCCACTGCACCATAAACGCATGCACGGTCGCCCATGTAAGCGATGCTTTTGCTCCCGGAACGGAACGATCGGACTCGCTCCTTCTACGGGGCATCAGTCCAGCTGGATCTCAGCAAAGCTCGCACCTGGCAACAAAGGCTCTGTCGCCAAAGAGATGGGCACCATGTATTGATTGCTAAAGAGATGGGCTAAAGAAATGGGCTAAAGAGATGGAATAAAGAAATGGGCTGGATCTCTGGATCCTGGCACTTAAGTAGCATCTGAATCCGCCAAAGCGGACGGGGACGGATACACTAAGCCAGCATGTGGCGATGCCAGTGGTTTGAGTCTACGGCGTCTACGGCTATCCAAAGCTGACATGTCGTGAAGAAGGCCAAAACCATCCAAAACCCGCCTCTCTTTCCTACATCAGGACTACCACTACCAAATAAATTAGAGTGTCCTATGTTATCCTCGGAAAACCGAAGTGTTGTAGTTTCGCGTCAATGTAGTTTCCATCCATCCAAGTTGCACTTCAACGGAAATTCTGAAAATGGATTTGAGGGGAACTCGATAGAACTACAGTGCCTGGCCGGCCTGGCGACATTTGTCGATTCATCTCACGAGAAGACTGAGCGGACATGCAGCAGTCTAGCTTGGGATGGACACCCTAGCCCTAATCCTCCTGATGCCCTTTGCTCTTAGTAGCGTCCTTGCTGCTAGTAGTGAGGCCAGGAACCCCTAGTAGCGTCCGAATCTATATCATTGATTATAACATAACTGTGTGTCTTTTTCCCTTTGGGTCACCCTTAATGTCTGATGTGCAGTTCCCGCGGCCGCCACATCTCCGCCTGAAAGAATGGCCTTGGCCTTCTTGACAGAGTCGACTTCCTGCAGCGGTCGATTTCACGATCACGCGGAAGAGTTCAAGATCGGGTCAAAACCCAGGATCGCACGGAAGATTGGAAGAATGATGAAGAATTCAGCTCATATATAACATCTTGACTAGGATTCCATCAGGCTCCCGAATCAGATACTGTGGGTCGAACTAAGGTCGCTGAGAATCACTTGACGCAATGCGTTGGACGCGTTGGAGTAGGAAGCGATCCAACCAGCTGGCAACCTACGTACTTAGAACAGAAGCATGTTCCGCTGTTCCCACATCCTCTGAGGATGGGTCGAAACCTTAACACATCTTAACACTTGACAGAATTACGTATTCGTTCCAACAACGAAAAACCAGACCCCTTGGCTGGGCAGCCAAACGTGGTGAACCAGGAAACACGTCGTTCTCCTTTCACCCGACACTCGTCTTCTCGTCCCGGATCGCCGTCGACGCTCGAGACGGGCGCGACCGTCGGTCCTCCTCGCGGGCACTCTGCCGCGCGTCGAAGTTCTTCAAGAGCCAATCGCAGCTCTCCTCGACGTGAGGGGCCGTGGAGGGCGGGGTGGGGGGTGGACCGTTTTCTTTTTCTGTTTCGTGTTTCCAAGGCCGTTCGCCTTCCAACTGGAACTCGTTGGTGAGTGTTTCCATGGCCGCCATCAATGCCAATCTTTTCCGCTTCATCCCTGACATGACCAATTTGGGTGAATGGATGTCTAGTGGATCACCAGAAGACCCACCCGGGTGAAGCTTTTCTGATGGTGTCACCTTGGGCTGCCACGGAGAACCCCCAAGCAGCTGTCACAGAAGTCACCAAAACAAACGACACAGCCGCATCAAACCACCGAACATGCTACTATAAACCGCAGCCGTATGCTCCAAATATCGTTTAAACATCTATATACTGTATCCAACACATCCAAAATCCACCCAGCCAAAAAGAAACCGCCCCCCCCAAAAGAAAAACACGTCATCCCAACCTCTCATGTTGTGTCCAAGGCACATGAAGGTCCATCTTCTTGCCCTCCAACGTCTCCAGCTCCCTCTCATGTCCCTCCCGGCTCTGCCGCGTCTGCACCAAGGTCTGCGACGAGGAGGACCGGCGGGGTCGCACGGTGGGACGAGCACCACCGGGGGACGCAGTCGGCGCCAAGGCAAAGCTGCCCAAAGGAGAGTCGGCGACAACAAGCGTGGGATGACAAGCGATGACTGGTCTGGCAGGTTTGAGTTTTAGATTGATAATGTTCAACATTTCAACATCTAAAACCCTTGATTGAAACCACCAAGAAGCTTTGTATTGTCTTCTTTCTTTGAAAGGGTTGGACATGTAAAACCTGGGACGAAACTCGATTCCCGCGTTCATTCTCATGGTTGGCTCACGTGTCAGTGTTTCATGATTCTCAGAACCGTATGGATGGCATGATGGTCATTGTTCTCGATCCCCACCACAGGCCGTCGACCAAAAAGAAAGAGAAGACCGATCGGAGCTCTCTCGGAGCTTAAAAGCCCTTCCACATGGTGGTTCAGTGCTTGAGGGAATCCCATGTCTTCCTTCCCAAAGCAAAAGGATCCGAGCTTTCCATCCACTGGAAGGAATACCGGGAAGGAATACCACCTTGGATGAGAATGCATTCCTAAACTGACCCCCAAAGGGTTGCTCTGAGCTTCCCGGAGCGTCCCATCCACTTTGGAGTCCGTTTAGGACGGCGGATGACCCAGTGCCACACGGCCACGCCGTGGTGATCGCCGAGAAAACGCGCCGTCGCGGGTATACAGTCGAAGGGGGGGGGTATCTTGAAGCAATAAGGCTTCAATATCATTTAGGATCTCCAAGTGTCTGGTCCTTTTGCCATCTCCGACTCCGGCACCCCAATGGGACACCAAATCCAAAGATATCCGAACTATGGACAAACATGGCGCCACTCGACGTGATCGTTCATGATCGTTCGTGATCGTTCGTTCATCTCCACGACGTGAAACGGAGACGTGAACGTGGCGAATCGCCTGCTCGAGCTTGGCTTTGTGCGCCTTCTTGTTCATAATCGATGCTTCCTAGTGGAAGAAGAGAGATATGGGCACTGTGTCTTGCAGAGACAAGGAGTTGGGCAGTTGGATAGCATGTTTGTCTCCGATTCTCTTCCCCCATGTCTCTCCCCCATGTCTTCCCAATTCTCGGCTTGAACCCATCACCCTTTGGACTTCACCACAAAAAGCCATCTCGTCAGCCGGTCACGGTCCTTCTTGGCGATGGACACGGTGGTGTCTTTGGCAAAGGCCTCGTAGGCACTCTGAGCACCTGAGCTCCGAGTGGAGACCGCGCGTGGAGTCGGCCGAGCCGACAACGATGAGGGTGGAACAGAGCGGTGACTATACCCATTGTACACAAAGGTAGGACAGTCAGGACAAGAGTTGCGAACCAGCATTTAGATGCATTTAGTGTCAAAAGATCAACAAATCCTTCTCTGAAACAATGTTGAAACAACAATTTTGCACCTGTCCAGTTGTAGTTTGGTCTTGCAGAGTTGTCTCAGCGCAAACAAAGTGGAGAGGTCTTAGAGAGTGCCTCAGCACCTTGGGAGTGTTTCAGAGGGCTAATGGCTAGCCATTGCAGCACGCCAGGATGCCCAAGAGAAATTCTTCCAAAGAAAATGTGTGGAAAGAACTGTTTCCGGCGATATGGTCATCTACATCCACTTGGAGTTGAACACAGCTTGAACACCAAGCCGCATTTTTTGGTCCGTCCAGGATGTGTAGATCGTCAATGCTTTGAAACTTGGTTCATCGAATGTTTTTGACAAGTTGCAAAGCCCAAAGTTCATGGTCAAACAGCGAAACGATGACAAGTACTGGTCTTAGAAGCCCGGGCCAAGGAGCAATTAAATACGTTCTGTGAAAAGCATGTAACCATATGCCACCTATGATGTCCATCGAATCCTTCGCACAGAAAAGTTCAGCAGTGTACAGTCCTTCATGAGTATCTTCGGATGAGATCATTTCTTCCTTCATGATGCTTCTTAGGGCTCCCCACTCTTCTCCGCCCGCACGGCCTCGGCCTCCATGGCTGCTGCATCATCCACCAACTGCTGGAGCATGGTCATCACCTCGAAACGTGCCCGGCCGACCGCTTTTTTGGGAACGTGACTGGGAGGCTTTTTGGGGGGGCCAGAGGTGGCTGTGGAGTGGCAGGGCAGCCTGCCTAGATGCGGTTTGGGGAGTTCTGGCATTTGGATGATTGGATGATTTGAAGTATTTGGTTCGAGTATGTTCGAGTCAGGATCAAAACAAGTCCAAACGGTTGCTTGGCTTGGGATGGAGAGCACTAGCTGTTTGTTTCAGAGAACATTGGAGCACCTGATCGATCATCGTCGACATTGAACCGTCTCTCTCTCTCTCTCGCGCGGTTCAATTTCCTGGCTCTCGCACCAAATTCTCCTCTCCTCGTGTGTTGCGCAAACCCCACCTTTTCGGAGAAACCTCTCTTCCCAAACCGCTAGTGTCCGTTCGCCGGTTGTGTCTCTCTCGCGTGAACGAACACCGAGCGCCCCAGCACCGAAGCTCTTGCCGTTGGCCTTGTAGTCCTTAAAGCCGCCCGGCACCTGCAGTGGTGCCCGGTGCAACGGTGGCCACTGCGTGGAATGCGTGGACATGCGCGGCGGCTTGCGGTGTTTGTGCACACGCTGGACAGCATGGGGTGGCGGGGTGGTGAGGTGGCGGAGGTTTTGGGGTGCTTCATGATGACTAGGGGATGATCATCGGGTGGCCCTGCCTCAGGGGCGTGGCTGCTGCCTTGCAAGAAGGCCTCCTGGCAAACCAAAGGGACAACATGGGACAACGAATTTGAAGAAAGACATCCAGTCCAAAGAAACTGCAGAACTGACGGTGCTTAATGCATGTATACTTTTCAGGTCCAGGCGGCGCCATGGATTTCATGAACATGCACCCTGAAATGATGGGTGCCAAGGTCGGTGGTATCTGCATCTTCAGTGATGCAATTGTTTCTGACTTTGAAGCTGCCGACGACAGCCTTGTCGTAGAACTTGGCAAGGACTTTCAGCGCCTGCGCCCAAACGCTTGGGACAACCCAAATGGTGGGTGTGTACCAAACTGATATTTCATTTCGAGCACAGGTATCTTGGGGGATTCACTACAGTTCTATCTATTTGGGTGTCAGTAGCATTGCGAAGCTGAATCAAAGCTGGTGTCAGAACAACTCTAATGCTATTCTCGTGGCAGAACCTTGTCCTAGTTGCCTGCGAAATGTTCCAGATGATTTTAACTGAAGGAGTGAAACCCCTTCTGACAGCACCACCTTGTGTTTTTATGGGTGCTTTCTAGACTCATAGACACCATTCTGGGCCATGTCCTGTTCCATCCAAACACCATACTGGCATGGTTTCGCGTTGGAGGTCACATGCTTCGACCGGTCTCCGGTGCTTGAACGGCTGCCCGTTCGGCGCCCGTTCGGGTCGCGGTCGCGAGTCCACGGTCGGTGGCGAGTCCCGCGGCTCCTCTTTCAGAAGGCCCTGTGTCTTGCGCTGCTCTTCGACCATCTGCTGAAACTCGGTGTTCTCCTGGAACTGAACCAGTTCGTGTCACCACTTCGCCAACGGCGTCCCTTTTTCGGAAACGGTCCTCGCACCGGGACGAACGGACCCACCGAGTCGGTTCCGACCGACCGACCCAACATGCTCTAGACCCCTCGTCGGAAGCTCCTGTCATGCCATGGATATTCCATGGAAATTCCATGGAAATTGATGCTTGCACCAAGCCCTGCCTTGAAAGTTCCGTGCGCATCTCGCCGGAGGAACAGGTCATCAGTCCTTCTCGCGGTTCTGCCCAGCCAGCTGCAGTTGCTTTTGCATCTCGGAGATTTCGCTGTGCCTCACGGGGACGGTCGAAGTCTTTCGATGTGATACTTGTAAATTATGTAGTTGTACAGTACAGTCAGTAAGGATGGAATTGCCTCTATACTCTGTACATTCTCTGCAGTTCCTTCAAGTTCTTCATAGATCTTCTCAGGACTCGTTCTTCACTTTCTTCCATCTTCTTCGTTCAATTCGAAGGAGGGGATCTGGCCCTGTTTTGCAAGGACAGGTTTCAGCGGCAGTGAATGTGATTGTGTCGAAGCAAATAAAGACATGTTGGGCCCCTTGTCGTTCGACCTCTGAACAGTCTCGTCATTGCTCTGTAAGGAGGCTTGTTTACACATCTTCTTGTTACGTTCGTAGCGATGGCCTCCAACCCAATAGCGATGGCCTCCACCGTGCGTAGCTTCTTGCTACTAGTAGAGGCTTGGAAACATTGATGAAATCTTGTATACTACCTCTCTGGACCCCCTTGCACCAGCCCGTCCTCATTCCAAAGCGTTGGCAGCTACCAGTCTGAGCATCCCTGCAGGGTCTTCAGGTCGTTCGTCGGCGTCTCCAAGTCGATGGCCTCCGCCGCCAAACTGGGTGTGCTTCCGGCACGCGCGATTCGGCATGCAAGCGGAAGAGGACTGTAGAGGAATCAGATCTAAACAAATTGATACAAATTAGATATTTATAGATATACACATATACACGTATGGATCTACATGTGTTTTGGAAGCGTTCCCGGGCGGGATGTTTGACTATGGGGTATGCTTGGGGGGATGCTTCGCCTAAGTCATCCCAGCCCTGCATAAACTGGACAGAGAACCAATTGGGTCTTACCTTTCATCCATTGAAACAAGGCCATGGGCCATGTCTGAAGACAGGATGATCCAATGATCCATTCAGAATGTGAGAAAGATTGAGAAAAAGGAATTCGAACTTCTTTTCAAATAAATCACAAAAAGATCCAAAGAAATCGTTGAAGTCACAGAAGTTCAGAACCTTACTTCAGAGTTCAGATTGTTCATGCTTTGCTCAAACTCTTCCACGACCGACTTAGACACCAGTCCACGTCCGACGCTCCGCCTGCTCCTTGGCCACGAGAGCATCCTTATTGCCTGGGTCAAATGGACGTGGTGAGTCCAAATCGGAAGACGTGCGCAGCGTGCGCGGCGTTTCCTTGACCAGGAAAGCCAAGGAGGAGCACTGAAAAAAGAGGGATGACTCGCTGCAAAAGGTGACATCATGTTTGTAACATCCATATGACCCGGTTCAGAGGCCTCGCTTCCATGTTCAAACACGCAAAACGTGCAGTCAGTCACATGATTTGTCCTGTCGCCCGAGTGATCACTCGAATCGCCCCGATGTGGAGACAGTCCACGTTCGACTGTCTCAACTCGATGCGACCATTGTTTGGATGGAAGGAACTCAGGGATGCAGGGATTTCCTCCAAACAACCATCCGAATTCACTGGGCTGTTGGATGCCGCATCCTTCCCTGATCCTTCCCTCCGCAGGACCACGTGTCTCAGCAGGATGGTCATGCCAGCTTGATCGGGCTGAGAAAGAGTCCCCCTGCTCAGTGCCCAGCGAGTCTTCTCCTCCGTCTGAAGCTGATTTTTCCGAAGCTCGTCCACGCAGAATTCCTTCTGCGTCACCTGTTTTCACGGCCCACGGCGCCCAGAAAGGGAAGGATTTCGCCCAGAAAGGGGTTCCTCGGGTCCTGAGATCCACCAGCCCTGTAGTTTTGAGGGCCGGTCTTCCAGACCGATAGGCTTGTCATATCCAAAAAAGGGCCACTGGTCACTCCCATAGGTCACCTGCGAGGTGAGACGACCAGTCACCCACCCAGAGTCAGGTCGGTCACGGGAACGGTTTAGATGCACAGGAAGAGTTGGGAGACGCACTTTCATCAGTAAACCTCAAATACACCACATATGATCCTATTATGATGGGGGCTCTATCTCGTTGGGCTACTCCAGCAACTCACAGTATCTCGTTTGGACTACAGTCCTCAAAAAAACTATCTCGTTTATGTTGGGGCTCTACTGTATCTTGTTCAACAGCGGATACTGATGTTGGACAAGCAAATAGAGCATGCCTTAGACTACTTCAATAAAGAATCTATAAAAGTGGTTGCTCACATGAAGACACTCCATGGAACTGGAATATGTGACTCTATTGACCCCAGGTAAATAGGCCAGTCCCATGGATGCTCTGGGATATGGAAGACTTGCGCAGACTTGCGCAACACGAGCGCACAGGCCGGGCCTCGTCTTCCTGTTCCTTCTTCAAGGCAAAGACCATGTCATCCATCGCCTGGGCGCGGTGCACTGTGCACGTCTTCCTATGGTCTTCCAGAAAATCTGTTCTTCAAGGGCAAGGATTCAGAATATAAATGAAAACCCGATAGAATATAGTGAGAACTACTATATATATATAGATTATGATATCATATGATATATATATATATATGAGGGACGGTCAAAACTCCTTATTCTTCTTCAGCTAAAAAATGGACGTCATCGGTTTTGAGGTGGACCTTATCGTTTTACAGCGTTTTGAGTTCGTCGCATACTTATGACCATATACAGCGCTGGGGTTATCGGTTTTGAGGTGGACTTTATCGTTTTGCAGGGTTTTGTGCACAAACCTACCCCTCTTTACTAAAGTGGTCTTCGCATGTTTTGACCGTGGCTCATGTATACACCTCTTACACCAGGAACTTGTAAATGTTGTTGTTTTGAGGATCATCCCTCCATCACAAGGCTCGTCACTGGGGTCCTCTCCTCGCCTGGCCTTCTTCACGTTGGTGAACTTGTCGATCTTCATCTGCATCGCCAAGCTCAGGACGCGAGGATCCTTGGCCTGGAAGGAGGGTCAGCACAGACCAGTCATCCGGACAGTCGGACGAAGGTGTGGTCTGGTCCGGTGCATACGATGGTGAGATACATCTGCGCAGGCGAAGATGGGGATAAGTCCAGACAACCCACATAACCTATGCGTCTGAGTCTATCTTTGGCTCTGGGTTGTCTTTTTGTGGATCTCCAATTCGAAGACACACCCATGTGCTTCGTCACCAAACCATCCTCCTCATATAATTTCATCTTCAGCTCCCTGCCTTGCTCAAGGCCTTCGCTGCCGCCTGGACCCTCGAACTTGAGGACTCCTCACGAGATTCCAGGACAGTTTGGGCTTGTTTGGATGTGAGTCGAAGGCGCTTTGGCCATGGGACAGCTATGAAAAGATGCGGTGAGTCCACTAGATCCAGTGGGTTGTTGCCCCTTAACCGAAACTCAAAACACGTCATTTGGGCCCTGGCTCAGATCAATCCTACTCCAAATGGTCATGACCGACCACTGACCACGCATGGTTCCTCTTGCGCCACTCCTCAGCTAACTGCCCAAAAGGAACTCCAGGCCACCCATCCTTCATCTCCAACGAGTCCCAGTCCACCCAAAGAGTTGGGACAAACTCCTCCAAGAAAAGAAGACAAGACAGTATCAAGTGCAGCCCCGATTTCTGGGGTTTTGGGTCTACTTGGTGCACGAATCCGGAAGCTGCTCGAAAACCCTCCGCCTCATATCTCCGCCCCCCCCCCCCCCCTCGCCCCGCCTCTAGACTCTATTCCCCCAATCCTCGCCCCTGGAAACCCTCCCCTCTCCTGGAGGAAGGATGGACTGAACGTCTTGGCAAAGTTCGCGTGGGCTTCGTCAGCATCCAGGATCTCCACCGCCTGACACGTTCACTCTCCCGAACCCTGCGAACCTCGGTGTAGTTGGCTTCGAACAAGACCTTCCGTTGCCTAAGGGGTTTGTAGGGTGAGTCCCAATGGCCGTGGTTTTGTAGGGTAGTACTGTAGGAAAAAGGAGCAAAGCCGTTGGCCAAGGCCGTAGACCTCTCAGTTGCCTCTCCGAACACGACTTCTCGATCTTGGGGAAGAACTCTCCTCTCGGGGGCTGTGTGGCGTTCTTCAAGGGTTGGAAGACTGTGGGACATACACCACATGGCCGCTCCGATGCAAACGGGTTTCATGGGATGATCATCCAAAGTACAGTACCGGCAAAACATCCAGCCTCTCCCATTTATTCCCGCCTTGGAGATCGCTGTGGTCTCCTCCGCCCGGGTCTTCTGCCGCTCGTCCCACTGGGCGTCCATGTCGGCGCAGCGCTGCTTCACCTCCGCCACAAACCTCGGAGACGACGGCAACGGCGGCTTGGCGCAGCGGAAGAATAGCTATTAGGTTAGAGGCCATCGCTGTTAGGGTGGAGGCCATAGCTATTAGGGTGGAGGCCATCGCTACTAGGGTGGAGGCCATAGCTATTGGGTTGGAGGCCATCGCTACTAGGGTGGAGGCCATCGCTACTAGGGTGGAGGCCATAGCTATTAGGTTGGAGGCCAACGCTACTAGGGTGGAGGCCATAGCTATTAGGTTGGAGGCCATCGCTATTAGGGTGGAGGCCATAGCTATTAGGTTGGAAGCCATCGCTACTAGGGTGGAGGCCATATTAATAGGTTGGAGGCCCCTAGTAGCGATTAGGTTGGAGGCCATCGCTACAGAATGGAGGCCATAGCTATTAGGTTGGAGGCCATCGCTACTAGGGTGGAGGCCATAGATATTGGGTTGGAGGCCATCGCTACTAGGGTGGAGGCCATCGCTACTAGGGTGGAGGCCATCGCTACTAGGGTGGAGGCCATCGCTACTAAGGTGGAGGCCATCGCTATTAGGGTGGAGGCCATAGCTATTAGGTTGGAAGCCATCGCTACTGGGGTGGAGGCCATATTATATAATAGGTTGGAGGCCCCTAGTAGCGATGGCCATATAGCTATTAGTTGGAGGCCATCGCTATTATATAGGTTGGAGGCCATCGCTACTAGGGTGGAGGCCATCGCTCTTAGGTTGGTGGCCATCGCTACTAGGGTGGAGTAGGTTGGTGGCCATCGGTGGAGTAGGTTGGTGGCCATCGCTACTAGGGTGGAGTAGGTTGGTGGCCATCGCTAGGTTTTGTAAATTATTTGGGTGATGATGGGTGACGCATCGCTGGTGAAATATATAACGGAAAAATACCCAAAAAAGGCTCAGTGGTCTTAAACACAAAAATGACATAATAAACTTCTGACTTGTTTCGTCATGTCTTGGTGAAGAACCTGGTGGTTTGTGCAGGTCATTATGAAAGTCTTCCAACAAAATGTGTCATGCAACAAACATCAACAAACCATGTCCGTCTTTGGCATGTTAGGTGACCGCTTAGATTGCACATTTCCTTGGGACAACGGGACAACGGTTGCGTGCATTTCAGATGGTTCTCTGTTGCCAGCGGTTTTTCATAGTTTTTCCATGTTCAGTGAAGCAAGGGTCGAATTCGAGTGGACCTTTCAGTTGTATAGGAGAATCTTTTTTTCTTGAAGGGGAGGGGTGGAAGTGCTTGTATTGGGATGACCGAAGAGAAGTGATATCTGCAGAACAGGTGTGCCTCTATTCGCTACGGCTACGTCTACTACCTCACTCCCCAAAACGAGCTAGCAATCACACTTGCTCAATGAATAATTAAACAAGCTTTCAGTTCCAATTCATTCTACAATCTGAGCAGCATGAGGCACAAGTCCCATACAGCTTGTCACTTTTCATCAAAGCACCATCTGCCAAGTTGTTGGTTAAGCAATCGCGCCGAAGAGATCAGGGTTTGACCCACTCTGAGATTTTACAACTCAACAGCCTCCACGGGCAGAGAGAAACACAGCAAGAACATAAAACTCATGGAACATCCACAATTACTCATCAATACTGTCAATACTCCATCATTGGTTCAATGTTCAATCCATGAGACGAATCGTCAAACAACCACCTGCGCGAAGAAGAGGAAAGGTGCTCCCTTGACCGCCAGGCACCTAGCAACCCCCTCCCAAGCAACATGATCTCGAAATCCCACCTGTCACTTTTGATGGCCAACTATTTGGGGTGCCAAGCATGTATGTAAGAACTGGAGAAGTGCTCCGCATACGTCGGCTTGCTGGCAATCAGCATCTTTACATGGCAACGCATCCGAATGCCGATCGCCAGAGTGGGAAAAAAACCATCCACTTCCCTAGACTCTGTACAGCTGTGGAAGGCATTCTCGCTTGCACTGGATTCTGCGTGTGCTCTCTACCATCACTTTTTGATTCATTGGACAAATCTCATTGACATGCAAGGGAATCCTCGTTGGACAAAGCGTGGAATCGCAACCTTGCGCCGTTCTGCCCTCTGTCCTCCGCACATCTCGTTCTTCAGGGCCAAGGAACAGCGGAAGCACGGCCGGGCAAATCTGCCCGGCCGCTGCATCCAAAGGCTGGCGCAGGTCCCACAACACGCTTTGAGATGGCAGAGAGCGCTGTACAACACGGTGCGTCACACACGAAGCCTACCTGAACGGTTGCATCCCAGCGACGACTTTCAACTTGGTTCTAAAGGGATCAGGCCAGGCCTGAAGTCTATACCAACATCTTCCAAGATCCCGCGGCAAAAACGTTCGAACGATGAAGAACTCCGAAGAACCCATCAAAAACCGCTTCAGATGTTGTGGGGCGAACGTGTGAAGCCGAAGGTTCTTCCTGCTTGGTGTGCCGATTCTGGTCCAGTCGGACCTTGTGACCGGAAGATCGGACGACAGACTCGCCGCATGGCACGGTCAGTGGCGGCACGATGCACCGGTGGCCCTTAAGATGCAACTAAAATAGAGTTCGAAACCAGTCCTTTCCCTATTATGCATAGTTTTATTCTATCATATTCAGATTCAGATCTCCTCATAAACTGAGCCCCAACTCCTAAGTCACGTCAGTCTACTCAAGTCTGCATCTTCCCGGAATCACCTCTTTCACCCCCTGTGCCACGTCGTGTCAAACCCTTCAAACCCCTTCAACCAGCCAAGGCCGGCACCGAATCCACCCACCCGGCACCCGGCCTCAACTCGACAATCCGTCGGGTGAGGGGGTCCGTGTTCTGGCGCTGCTTCCGTCTCCCTGAGCGCTCCACGCCGCGCACCGCCCACCGACAGACGTGGCCGGCGCGGTGTTGGCAGAGGAAGAGAAGGCGGTCGACCAAACGGTTCGGGGACGGGACGGTGGTATTTCTGGAAGGATCGAACTAAACGAGAGGAAGTCTAACAATTGAGTAGAGCGTGTCATAACCTCTCGACATGGGTGATCAATAGGAATCATCAAGATCTGGGAGTGAGTTGCATGAAGCGAATGCAGCATTGCTTCTTCTGTTTATCTTAGTTTCCCTCCCATCTCTATTGAACGTGTAATGCTCTCTAATTCATTCTAATTCCAAAAAGAGCGATCCAAAACCACGGTCTCTCCGCGCGAGACGCGCATCACGTCGCCTCCTTGTCTCTCAACGCTTTTCGGAGGCGTCGCATTCGCTCCTAGGGGCATCGAGGGACGGTCTTAATTGAAGCGTCCTGATGAGGTTTGTCTCCAACTGAGACCGCACACCTGCTGCTAGAAAATGAAGAGCCAACTCTTTGGTTCAGTCGTCTCATTTCATGATCACATTCTGGGCCTTTCTGGGCCCCTAGGGCCAGGGCTTCAAAGGAGGAAAAGCCGGTGATCCCAATTCGATAGGACAATGCTGCTTCGAGTCTCACCAAACTCGCACCAACTAACTCTGCGCCCCCGTCCACGAAACGACCGATTGTACCGCCTTCTTGCTGGGCCGTCGCAGGGGTGCTCGATGACTGGGCGCATGGCAGAAGTCACAGTCCTGGGAGCGGAGCGGAGCGTCCCACGTGGTTTGGGACGGTGGCGTCATGCAGGGACGGTGTCCCCACAGACGGAGGTCTCCTTAAAGATCTTAAAGAGTTCCACTGGCGGAGAGTGCCCAACCCAGGATCCCTGTCACTAGGAGCCAGAAGAGATTCAAGACTCAAGACCCTGATAGGGAGGATGTTCTTCAGGGCGATTCGACTGTTTCGCGTGGTTTCAGGAGTCCGGCTCCCTTGAAAAGTATCACCAAGTACGAAAATGGAAAGGACTTTGAATGGAGGCTCATGATCTACTCGATGATCCTTATCACCCACAGTTCTGCCTGGAAAAAAAAAAGAACAGCTCTACTGAACGAAGCTCTTCCAACGAAGTGAGCCCGCCCGGGCATCCAGAAGCGGATTTTCCTCTTTCCGAGACGGTCTGGGGAAGCCAGGGAACATCTCCACTGCGGCAGATGCCCCGAGGAGCAAAGCTGCAGGGCTTGCAAAGACCAGCCTGAGCTTCTGAGCTGCTGAGCAAAACCTCTGCAGCTTGACTTCAAAGAAAGCTCCGAGCAATCTGTGAAGGAACCTCTGGGTGAGTGCTGCAAAAAGCTCCTAAGATCTTATCGGAAAGGCTCCCGTCCACCGGTTCGCCTCTCCTTCTTCGCTCGAACACCGGGGTCCCCAGACGCTGTGTGCCGCCCACCACTGCGGCGCCACCCAGGCCCTGGGAATGTCCGACGGGTGCTCGACTGGACCAACGTGCGGAGCCGGCTCGGCTTGGCTCTCCGGTGGGGCGCCTGTGATTCTGGAGACTTTGCCCCAGCATGGCGAGACGCAAGTTTGGCAGCCGAGGCCACAAGGAGACCTTCTCCTGTGGCAGCAACCCTTGGGGTGTGTGGGGAGACGAGGAATGAGGGAATGCATTAATTAATTGATATTATTGCTTTCAGTACCTGAGATTTACTACAGTACCAAAGAAGTGAAGATCTTTTCGCAAAGGCGCATTCATTAACTACTCGCTGTGGTGGTCGAGTGTTGCGTTTTCTTCAAGGGCACTACCAGTGCTATGGCAACTGAGCTGCGATCAACCTAGCGGAAACTCTTGTGAACAAAAAGCTTGGAGACATCAGTGCACTATAACTGCTTCCGATCCCTGAGCAGGTTTTGCTGGGACAATCTGCTCAGCTGAGACAGTTGACTCGACTAGCTTTCCATGTGGGGCAAGGCTCTTCTCCGGTCTGGACTAAGTCATAAAGAATTGCCCCAAGGTACTCCATCGCTTGTGAATGCCAGGCTTGGGGTTTTCCAGTGTTTTCAAAACAATGGATGTTGCGGAGAGCACATATATAGTGAGTCTTGGTATAAGCATTATCTGGTGAGTTTGACCATGGGGTCCGGGTGCCTCTCCGGTTCCTTCCACGTGTGCCCCGCGACCAAGCACGAGCGTCGGTCTCCTCCCACA